ACCGAGCCGATACGCAATCGTCAAAGTCATCTACGACGCTGCGCACTCTCGGGGTCGGTCTGCTGGAAGTATCGCAGATCCTTCGGCAAGAGAAAGACGCCGAGCAGATTGTCAACATCTGGTCTCCGTCGTCGTGGCTTGAAGAGGGCGAGGGCCATGTTGACGGGTTTGACGGGTTGGTACGCACGCTGCTCCCAAGCCCCAGCGGGAAATACGTGAGGTCTGAGCGCGCGGCTCGCATACATTTGCACATGTATCCATTCGTGGACTCGGATTCCGACGCCCTGGTTCGAAAGAACCCAACCATTATGCACAACGTGATCCAAACGAAGCGGATCGGCTTCTCTCAAGCGCCATCGAAACCCCGGTCCGACATTTATGTGACCATTTCCCACGCTACCTTTCCCCCCGAAGCTCTTTTGTCACATCCTCAGGCGGGCCAGCTCCCGGTGCCAACGACTACGGGGCTTCGCAACCTGCAATTGACGCTCGAGGTGCGAGCGGCCTCGGGATCCCGCGTTGAGAAATGCATTTTTCCGTCGTCCAACAACTTAGCACACACCGCATGGCGGACTACGATTACGGAACGGGGCACGCCCTGGAACCAGACGATCCGTCTGAACGTGCCCACGGAGGACATACCAGGGGCTCATTTGATCATGAGCATTGCGGATGCTCCCGAGTTTCCTTTCGCCCTCGCATGGATGCCATTGTGGGAAAACCAGGCGTTCATCCGCGACGGTCCTCATTCTCTGCTGCTGCATGCGTACGACAAGCACACGTCCAGCATCGAGAACGGCAAGGGTGCCTACCTGTCCCTCCCATGGAGCTCACTCGGCAAGAACGAATCGGCCAAGGATGAAGCGATTACTGGGCCGCTGGCCACCCTGCGCTTGGAGACTTACCTGTGTAGCACTGAATACTCCCAAGACCAGGTAATTTTGAGCTTGCTGCATTGGAAGGACCGACCGGTAGATGAGGTCCTGGATACCTTGAAGAGGGTTCTCTTTGTGCCTGAGATTGAGATCGTCAAGCAGCTGAGCAGCGTGTTTGATGCGCTATTTGGAATCCTGGTGGAGAATGCGGGAAATGAGGAATATGAAGACCTGATATTTAACAATCTTGTGACAGTTCTTGGAATCGTCCATGATCGACGGTTCAACCTTGGCCCGCTTGTTGACCACTATGCGGACAAGCAATTCAATTTTCCCTTCGCTACCCCCTGCCTGATGCGAAGCTATCTCCGTCTCCTTCAGGCTGGTGCCGATGTGCAACAGTCGCGGAGTCTGCGTGCCACATTCAAAGTCGGCAGACATGTCCTCAAGTTCATCATCAATGCCAGGCAGCAGCAAAAGGCCAAGGAGGAAGGCATCGGCATCACTCGCGTCCAGTCCACTTTCAACCGGGACTTGCACACCATCTTCAAATCGCTGGAAGTGCTGATGAGGAATCCGTCACCCGCCATGGTTGGCAGCAAGACGCTTGTCGTGCAGCATTTCCACACGTGGCTTCCGGAGCTATCCAAAGTCATTAGCAAAGACGAGATCATCATGATTGCGCTCAGCTTTATGGACTCTTGCAGCGACGTCAAAGGTCTTCTGGTGCTGTACAAGTTAGTCCTGATCCAGCACTACACGCAGCTGGAGATATTCGAGTCTGGATCAGAAAGACGGACTTTGATCTCCAGTTGCATTGGCTGGCTGGCACCGTACTGGGGAGCCACCGGATCCATCACCGACCAATATCGCGATCAGGTTCGGTTGAGCTGTGCGATCGTGGCACAGCTTCTGAAGCAGCCAGATCCGTTGTTGTACGGTTTCATGCCACAGATCGTCTCATCATACTATTCAATCATACCGGATGGCGTTGAGGAGACCAGCTATTTGTCTCTACTCTTCAGCAAGTCGTTCCCGTTCCAGGTCAAGGCCTCAAAAACCAGCCAGAAATTCGATGAGGCGCTGGTCGAATTGTCGGCGATTATGGCTGCCACAGCAACGATCCCCAAGCCGAAGAAGCCGTCGCTCAAGGGTCTGGAACTTGCTACATTTATTTCCCAGGCATTGGAGGTTCACAATTCGATTTTGAACTGCGAAGCGTACCCTGAGAGTTGGTTCAGTGTGCATGTGTACAATCACCGAGCTACCGTAAAGAGTCTGGAATACCTCGCTACGCTACTGACCAGCAAGTTTTTGCCCGCGCCGGATGATGCCGAGAGCTTTGATACGAGGTTGTGGGAGAGCTTCTTCATGACTTTGCTCAAGGTTGTGTCCAGTGATGCACTGGCCTTGGAAACATTCCCCGAGCAGAAACGAAGGGCCGTCTGGAAGATCGCAGGCGACGTTCGTGAGCAGGGAGCAGAGCTGCTGCGCTCCAGCTGGGAGGCCATCGGCTGGGAAACGACAGATGAGGACCGGGAACGGTATGGGCTGCGCAAGCTCGGCGGCTACCAGGTTCAATATGTGCCCGGCCTCGTGGCGCCTATCATCGGGCTCTGCCTCAGTGTACACGAGGGATTACGGCATGTCGCGGTGGAAATCTTACGGACCATGATTCTGAGCGAATGGGGTCTGAACCAAGAGCTTTCCATCGTCGAAACCGAAATCATATCCAGCCTGGACCATCTCTTCAAAACAAAGAAGATGAACGAAAGCATTATCCAGAAGCTGTTCGTCAGTGAACTCCTCGAATACTTTGAGGGCTGCGCTGCCTTTGACGAGGACCTCTCCGATGCCGTCAAAGGTCTCATCGCGACCGTCGACGAACTTTTGGATCTGTTTGTCGCATCACAGAGCGGGTCGATGGCCGAAAGTATGCATACATTGAGGTTGATGGAGTATATGAAGGATATGGGCCGGGAAGACATCTTCATTCGCTATGTGCATGAATTAGCGGACGTACAGGCGGCGGTGGGCAACTTCACCGAAGCCGGTCTTGCCCTCCAGTTCCACGCGGATCTCTACGATTGGGACCCGAGGCGAACAGTTCCCGAGGTGCTTGACCCTCCGTTCCCCGAGCAGACGTCGTTCGACCGCAAGGAATCGCTGTACTTTGCCATCATCCAGCATTTCGAGGATGCCAGGGCCTGGGCCCATGCGCTTGTCTGCTACAAAGAGCTTGCGGAGCAGTATGAACATACAGTGATGGATTTTGCTAAGCTTTCGCGCGCGCAAAGCTCGATGGCCAAGATCCATGAATCCATTGCCAAGGAGGAGAAGCAGTTCCCTCGCTATTTCCGTGTGGTCTACAAGGGGCTCGGGTTCCCACCTACCTTGAGGGCCAAGCAGTTCATCTTCGAGGGCGCACCAAATGAAAGAATGGCTAGCTTTGTTGATCGAATGCAGAGAGAGCATCCTGCCGCGCAGATAGTCTCTTCTGGCGAGGTGCAAGACTACGAAGGTCAATTCTTGCAGATCACCTCTGTCAGCGCGCACCGGGACATGACGCATCCGGTCTTCCAACGGTCGAAAATTCCACAGGCCGTCAGGGATCATCTTCTGATCTCCGAACCTTCTCAGTTCTCTTCGACGTTGAAGAGACACGTCCGCGGCACGGAAGTGCGGGAGCAATGGGTGGAAAAGACGATCTTTACGACCGCCGAGCCGTTCCCGAACATTCTCCGCAGGAGTGAGATTGTCGCTGTGGAGGAGGTTGCGCTGTCCCCGCTGCAGACGGCGGTCGAGCGAACGTGGCGAAAGACGCAGGAACTGTTGTTGCTCGAGCGACGAGCTGCCTCGGGCGAGGATCAGGGCCTGTCCAGTCTGACGGAGGCGCTGCAGCAGCTGCTTGACCTCAACTCTTCTTCGGCCAGTTGCGTGGCCCTCTATCGTCAATTTCTCGCGGAAGCTGACGAGGACGACACTGAAAAGGTCGAGGAGTCGGCCAACCCGATGAAGAATGCTCTGGCCGTAGCTCTCATCGACCACGCCTTGGCCATTAAACATGCTCTTGCGTTGTATGCCCGTCCGGCGCATCAGGCCACGCAAGCCGAACTCATGCGCCAATTCGAGGAAGCCTTTGCCCCGGAACTCGCCTCTCTCAGTCCCGTGGCGGCCGAGAGCCCGGCAACCCAACGCCAGTCTCCGGTCCCCGCAGAAAGCCGGCAAAAGCAGTCGCAGTCGCGCTCTATCAGTCCGCGCCACCACGTGCGCAAGCCTTCGGAGAAACCGTCCGTCAGCCAACGGATCAGCATTATGAACCCTTTCAAGCGAGCGAACCACGCACCGAACGGGTCAGTGGCCACAGTGATTGACATGAAGGCGGAGGAAAAAGACCATGACGACGATACTGCCACGATCCACAGTCGAACCACCGCTCAGTCCGGGACGACTCATACGAAACGCCGGAGCTTTTTCGGGGAGATGGTCCACAAGCACGGCCCATCCATTGCCGCCTCTACGGAGGACGTACAAGAACAGCTATCGAGAAGCGGTTCTCGCTCGCAGGATAACCGCAGTCGAAGCGGGTCCCAACACCACGGGCCGTCTGGAGACGATTCTACCACCAACATCAAAGGGGGCGGAGTGGTCAGAGCCACTTCTGTCAGAGACAACCACTCGGTACGGTCTGCCGATCGCAGTCAGGTCGGATCGCCCGGCGGCCATTCATATAGCCAGTCTCACAGCGGAGGCGTCCGCGACTCTGTGATGAAGAGGTTGAGCCTCTTCAAGGGAGTGGGTCGCAAGACCAGTCGTCTGGAGATCCGACTCGAGACGAACGGCGTTCTTCATGAAGAATAATCAATCCTTATCATAATGTCTGGACATTACTCCTTTCTTTTTCGTCTGTCAGTTATATGCATCTGCACACGAGCAGGCAATATGCATTGAGCGTTACTTTTACGCAGCTGTGATCATTCTTTCTACCTTTTCTACGTGGATATACTTGTTTTCGTCTTTTTTGTCATGATTGATACCTTCCCTAGATACCTCTGCAATTATAGCAAAATATAATGGACTGTCTTGGCTGCTTTAGAAACAACTATAGCCGTATATATACTTGGGTCAGGAAGCAACCGGTAAATCCAAATCCACCACCCACGGCGCATTCACAGCCCTATACCTTTCATTTAGCACACTGGCATTCACAAACAGCGTCTCCTCCCCAAACCGCAGCGGCCGCCCCGAGTCAGCGCTAACATCCACATACGCCCCTCGCTCCTCACGTACCCTATCCTCATCACACACCACCTTCGTCCCTCCCAACGTCATATCCGCTCCCCACTCCCCTCGCAGCGCACCATACCCCTCATGAATATGCCCAAAGACATGCACCCGCGGCCTTGCCCGCTTCACAGCAGCAAACAACCCTTCGCAGCCTACACTCCCGCCGTTCACGACCGTATCAAGCACCCCCGCCGGCGGACCATGCGTGATCATGATATCCACAGAAGGGAAGTCGGGGACTACGCTCGCGCCTGCTACTGCAGCATCTGCTCCCTCCGGGAGGGGATTAAATCTATCCCTGCCCCGGGGATACGCAAACGCCCACCCACAAAACTCCGGCGTGTACGGCGACGCAAACACCCTCACCTTCGCCCCTGTACTCAGAGTAAAACAATACAGTCCTTCATCCAAGTAGCGTATCCCTGCGTCGTAAGCTTCAGGGCCGCAATACAGCTGCTTTATGGCTGCGGGGTCCTCGCGTCCGGACCGGGTCTTGAAACTTGTCGCCGGGAGAGCGGCGTAGTATTCCTCGTCGAGAGTGATGTCGTGGTTGCCGGCGATGATGAGTTTGAGTTCTGCTGGGTGGGCTTTGAGGACCGCCAGGGCGGTGGTGTGTTCTTTGTAGCTGCCGATGGTTGTGAGGTCGCCAGAGTGGATGAGGATGTGCGCTATTGGGAGGGGGTGCCGGTAGGGGTGCGGGGTGGGAGGGGGGTAAGGGGGTGTGTTGTGGGTGTCTGATATCAGAAGGAGGCGGGTTTTTATTGTTTTATTGTCCATTTTGTTTTCCATGAACTATAGTCGGTGGATAGTTGAGGAGGGTGTAGATGTGTTGTAGTTGGAGAGTGAAGATGGGTTGTTGAGTTGTAGTTCAAAGGTTGCATGGGCAGAGTCATTCTGGTTGCCTGGTGGTGTACGTCAGATGGAAAAGTTCTACTGGACTAACCATTAAACTATTGAACAACGTAAGGATCATCCCATTGATTGACAGCTCAGAGCTCTACAGACATTGCATATGCCGATGCCCAGATCATGATATTTTCTGGAAAACATTGCTGAAACTCCGAAACCACCCTTTTACACGACACGCAAGCGCAATACCCCAAATAAATTTTTCTTTTTACTTGCGGATAGCACGCTGGTAGAAAGCCAGCTCGTCACCCTCCAGGATGTAACCGTCGACACGACCGCTCTGGCCGGGACGGGAGGCGATGACGGCGTACAGACGACCAGACTCGAACTGCTTCTCGATGGCGGATTCGACCTTGCCGTGGTCGGCGAAGCGAGCAGCCTGCTTCTTCACGACGCTGTTGCTCTTCTTCTCGGTGGTGGTCTCGGCGGTCTTCTGCTGGCGTCTCCGGCCGATGGGCTGGCCGTAGTGAGCCTCGTACCATTGTCTGAAGGGAGCGGCATCAATCTGAACGACGGCGGACTTGGTCAGGGTGTTGGTGCGGACCAGTTCGTTGTTGGAGGGGTGGTAGGCCACAACGATGACACGGGTCTTGCGGGAAATGCCCTCGGAACCCCACGAGAAGTTGCCCGACTCGAGACGGAGGGCACGGAACTTGCGGTTACCACCACGGGTGCGGACAAGGTGGATTCTCTTAGCACCGATACGGGTGTTGGCGGGCTGGCGACCCTTCTCGAACGCCCTGCAGATCGTCAGATTGAGTTGTGCAAAGCATGTCAAAAGGATGACTGTGGTCATACCTCTTCTTGCGGTAGGTGGCCCTCTTCGCACCGGTGGCCGAACGCTTGTGGCGGGAGTCGCGTGAGATACCCATGTTTGCGGTTGATGTAGGGAACTATCGCAAATCCAGTCAGCCAGGCAACTCGGGTCTCCTGCGTCTGCCTTCAATTTCTTCCGTTCGTAGAAGTCCAAGTCGTGATATCAAGTGCTCGCAAGAGTCTTCAAACCAAACAATGTCGAACCAACAGTCGTAAACCAGCAGTCGTCAACCAAGTAGACGAATTATTCTTCGAAGGAAAGCCGAATTGCGCTGTCTTGATGTATCGTTGTCTTCTGTTGCCTTTTCCGACTCAAATTTGACCGAATCGCCAACGAACTGTCACGAACACCGACGACCAACCTCTCGAAAGTCGGAAGAAATTGAAAAGACAGAATGCAGACAAGCAACAGGTTGAAACTCACCTCTAACTCTGCAGCCCTTCACCAGGAACGCAGCGGGCAAGGGTCGTTGGGTTGTCGTGGAGTTGATGTTGCTGGTCGTCGACGCTCGGGAATTTCGCAGTGTGGCTCACTGGCTCTTGGCTCGCTTGTCGATTCTTGCCCTACCCCAAAGTGCGCGCTAGCCTAAATGGGGTTGACACGTGACTACCACTAGGACTCCACTAGAATAACATTGGATAATTCCAACTCTAGGGAAAGATGAAATTATGATCGAGCATACCTCTCTAAGCTAAACTAGATAGATACTCTGTCAATCAATCCCTCCGCTCCCTCTTCATCCGCTCCTCCCTCACCATCTCATCAAACCGCCGCCACACCGGAAACCCCTCCACAAAATTCGACACAATCCACGCAAACCACAACCCAGACGCAACCCGCACCCCGTGCGGCCTCAACCTCTTAACCGCCAACAGCGTCGCCTCCACCAAATGCGCGCCTAGCAATAACCCAACCACCACCGGCGCAACATCGTAGCAGAAGCGCGTAAGCACCGGATACCGGTCCAAGCCCACCATCTCGTAGAACACACTCCCCGGCAGGAAATTGCTCCGCCGACCAAACACCACCAGCGTAGCGACCACCAGGACTAGCGAGACGATCTGGAGTCCGTGAGGGGGGTGGTACTCGCGGATGGTAATGTCGGAGAGGCCGAGGCGCTGCAGGGAGTCCTTGTGCATGGCGACGACGCGGGCGCGGGCTTCGGCAAAGGAGGCCATGGGTGGGTTGATGGGGACGCTGTAGCGGGTTCCTTTCGCGGTGATCAGGAGGTCGGAGAGGGAGATGTCCTGGAGAATGGCGGGTTGGGCAAAGTGGGCGGAGACGTCGCAGTAGGCGCGTAGGTAGAGAGAGAGCGAGTCTGCATGGTTGGTGTTCATGTGCTTGATGATGAAGGACTTGGTGGGTGCAGGTGCATCGGTTGCCATTTCGTCTCTCGTCTGAGGCTTATTGCTTGAATTTGTTCAGCGGATGAGGTGTCGAGTGTTGATGGTTGACTCCTTATCTAGTAGACTCTAGAGATGATCAGCGACCTACCTCGGCAGATTGACTGCGTTTGTTGATGCATGTGTAGCACTTACCCAGGTCAGGTTTGAGATTTGCACGGTTGCACCATTACAGACCCTAAAGAGTCGGTTTGCAATAGACCTGTGGTCAATTGACGTTGACAACTGTCGCATGATGCGATCCCAATATATATCACGTGAGCGATGGGCGTTGACATATATTTAAGACTCAAACCATAGTACAACTTCGAGTGTAAGCATTCAATTTGTCGAGATCTCATTTGTGACATTCGAGCTGATGAGGCAATCATTACATTTATAGACAGGGGATTATTGATTTCAATTGTCGCTAGTCCTACGTCCAGTACTTGGCAAGGACTACTCTGGAAGACATTGACATCCCGGTATATACTTTATTGAATTGACGCATACGCTAAGATATCATAAACATTCATAGTGACACCAGTTCAACACAAAGGATCACGCTGAGTATTAAAAGGGTAACCAGACTCTATTGACAACATGACAAAGTAAAGCTATTCAATCGTGACGGATCATCATGGCTCGTGAGGATGACAGGGCAGTATGGCTGCCAGGCAAGAATAATTACGCACTGCATCGAGCGTCAACTCCTGTTCGAATTGAGCGAATGAATGGAATATCAGGGGGCAACAGGGGAACATACATCAAAGCCAGCGTCAGATCACCATGGATATGAGCCTTGAGCTCGACCTCGATCTCGAGATTCAGCTCCAGCTTGAGCTTCATGCCTTCTTCGTCGTCCAGACTCGACCCCTGCTTCTCTTGTGGTATCACGTTCATCGACCCGTTCTGGGAGAGGGATTGGTTGCCGCCGGCGGGTTGGTATGGCTGCATTGCCTTGCCGGAGGCGACTTGGTTATCGTAGTCTTCATCGTCGTCATCATACTCATCAGAATAAAAGTCATCTTCGTCGGAGTAGTCCTCGTCATCTGCTTCTTCTACGGCGTCTGGTTGTCTGCTTCGTTGTTGTTGTTGTTGGCGCTGACGACGTTTCGCCTGAGCCTTGGGATCCTCTGCTTCTGCTTCATCGCCGGAGACCTCGTAGTCGTCAGTTTCGTAGTCTTCATCGGAGTAATCGTCTGAGTAGTCATCCGAGTTATCGTCTTGCTGGAGGGTTGGCTGCTTTTGCTGCTCTTTCGTTTTCTCTGCGGTGGCCATTTTGTATATTTTCAAGGCAGGAGAGGTATATAGTTACTGTCAAGTATATAGTCACAATCAAGACTGTCAAGGTGGGAACAGAATGGAAAGCAGAATAGAATGACTTAGTCAACAGTTAAAAGGAAGAAGAAAAGTAGTATGTTACTCGAGAATAAACCAGTCTACGCATAGACAAGTCTACACCACGCATCGTCATCATCAACAGGATAAGCAGTGATACTTGATCGGAGCCGAGAAGCCACCTACGCGATGGAGGCGGGTCCCTGGACGTGCCGTGCATGACGTTACGGCATCATTATCCTGTCGGTTTCATAATATAATTGGATACTACCGACTCAGAATAATTATGACTAACTGGTATCTAGGTAATAATTACTTTAGTATGATATGAGACGGGATCCGCCCATGCCTTCTGTATAATCAAGGGACTCCGCTTGTATCGATGTATCCATGGACCAGAAAAAGGTCAGACTTGCTATGACAGCAGAAGAATTTTCGCGTGCTCGGTACCATTCGATTTGTTCTGTGGTACAAAGTATTATCATCCGAATATCCACGGCTGAGTCTGCCGTCAATTTCCCTCTACAGTAACAGAGGGATACTAGGACACGTACTCGAGTAACAACAGCAATGTAGTCTGACGTCGAGTGGCGTCATTATACGCTTCATATATCCGTTTTATCCTCTCTCCTATAATAATAGCACCAAGTGGAGCAGCCAACCACACTATCTCGTGCCAAAATTCTCCGAGCGTCTCGCTATTGATTCGCTTGACTTTATCCATCCTGACATCTGGCGCTACTCCAGACACTATGACTAGCTTGGACTTGGACTGGAGTAAACTAGTACGTACGTTGTACAGCCCTGCATCTAGACGTCATACTGAACAATCTCTTGTTTAAGCTCTGTATCCATATGGGGTGTATGTGTGTAATGGATGATGGGTATCCAATCTATCTCAGTCCAAGATGACGCCGAACCAGTCTCTCTACCTGTCATGTCCAGCAACTGACGTACGAGGCGGACTGCCCAGTTTCCCTCCACCCCTACTCTGTCCCAATCATCTCATCCATATAAACGACCCCCGGACCAAGACAAGACCAAGAGTATAAACACTGTCATCCCCTCCATCTTCCCATCATTCTAGTCTTTTTTTCTTTCTTCCACCATGTCCGATCAGGAAAACAACAGTCGTCCTTCTAGTCCGACCCGCAACCCAACCCAGACAGAAGACGGTGCCCCTCCCACACCTAAGACAGATACCCAGACACCCACCAAGAAGCCTCCCAAGCTCGGCAAGAAGAAGCAGCAGCAGCAGCAGCAGCAGCAGCAGCAGCAGCAGCAGGAGTCGAAGCCTGAGCCTGAACCTGAACCAGCACAAGAACAAGAACAAGAACAACAAGAAGAAAACAAAGAGGATCCTCCAGACAACACCAAGGAAGACCCTCAACCTCAAGAAGATACCAACAACGCCAACGCCAACGGCGAAGCCACAGAACAAGACCAAGAGCAAGAACAAGAACAACCACAACAACAACAAGAACAACCCCGCCCCCGCAGGAGAAAACCTCAACCTCAACGCTACCGCCCCGACTCAGACACAGAAAGCATCCCCCGCCCCGAAATGGACAACAACAACGCCGCCATGGAGAAGCCCCGCCGCCGCCGCCAGCGTCCCCAGATGCAGCAGCAACAGCAGCAACAAGACGGCGGCCCACTTGGCGGCCTCGGCGGCGTGAACCAGGTCGGCGATCTCGTGCAGAACACCGCAGGCAACGCACTGAACGGAGTGACGGGGTCAGCGGGCAAGGCTGTCGGCGGGCTGCTGGGTGGAAACAAAGAGGAGAAAGAGGATGGGCGAGACGAGCAGTTGCGGCTAAGGCTGGATCTGAATCTGGATATTGAGGTGCAGCTCAAGGCGAAGATTCATGGTGATTTGACGTTGGGATTATTGTATGTCTCCTTCCCTTTTCCTTTGCCCCATGACATGAGGAGTGTGGGTGCTAACATGTGTCTAGGAACTGATTTCTTCGCGTCTTCTTCGTTTCCTCTGGTTTGTTGCTGATGCAAAACTAGACTGTTATGTTATGATGGTATCATGTCGTCTTGATTTGACTTGATTGATTGCTTCGCTGGAGCTGTTGTGCTTCTATCCTATTTATATATTCAGCTGCGTAGTAGCTTAGCTTCTATACCACATGGCACTCATGACTAATGACATTACATGACCATTGACTATCCAAGAAGCAACTTCCAATGTGAATACTCTTAAGTAATCTGGTAATCTGTATACATACCATCTAAGACTCCCTACAACCCCGCAATATACATCAATCCATACCCAATCGTCACAATCACCGCCCACGACATCAAACTGGCCGGGATACCGCGAGTAAGGAAATGCCGCACGTGGAGGTACCGTTGACCCGTCTGTGGGACCTCGGTCATAATAGCAGCTGTACATGTTAGCTAACATTATCAACTGGAGGGGAGGGTTAGAAGGGCGTACTCATGTTGGGAAACCCGCTGGTGGGCAACGCCATGGCCACCGAGCACATCAATGCACTCGCCATCACCAGCAAGTTCGGATGCGGGTCGTCCATGCCCACGCCAATCTGGCGCACCAGAGGTAGCATGATCAGCGCCGCAACCGTATGCGAGATAAACGTCGCCATGACCAGGATCAGCGCCGTAAACACGAGCAGAACCCCGTACAGACTGAAGTGGTCGACGCGAACCGTGATCGCCTTGGCGATCGTGTGCAGCAGCCCGGACGAGGTCACCGCTTTGCCGAGACACAGACCTCCTGCAGCTAAGATGATGATCGTCCACAAGAAGTTGTTAAAGTCCTCCTTGTTCAGGATCCCCGTTCCAAAGAACAGCACCATCGGGATGATGGCGATCACGCCCATGTCGCCAAAGACGTGCTCGAGCTGATGGCTGGCACACCACAGCCCAATGGTAGACAGCGTCACAATCGTGACAAAGTACTGCACTCCCGAGAATCGGTCCTTGACCGGTCGGATCGGCACAATGGTCGTGCCCCGGCCGGGTTTGAACGTCGCCAGCAAGAGGAGCCATATCAAAAGGATCGAAATGATGCACACGGGCAGCGCGACAAAGAACCAGGTCCCCCAGCTGATACTCGGGTACATATTCTGCAGCGCGATGATATTTTGTGGCGACGCAATCGGCGACGCGGCGCCTCCGACATTGGCAGCCAGCGCAATACCCAGCACAAGGGCCTTGGCAAAGTTGGAATCAGGAGGAAGATTACGCAGTAGAGGCTGAGAGGTTAGCACCTATCAAAAAAAATCCTCCAAAAAGGGGCATACCTGAATAATGGAGTAGCAAAGAACAGGCGAGGCCACATTGCTAATCCACATACTAAGGAACATGCTCACAAACATGCTCGTCAGCAGAACAACTTTGGGATTGGATCCGGCTCTGCTCAGCACAAACATGGCCATCCGACGTGCAATGTCGTACTTGGACAACGCAGCGGCAATGGTGAATCCTCCCAGCAGGAGCATGATCACAGGCGTCCACATCGCGCTGAAAGCCGCGCTCGTGGCGTCCTTTGGTCCCAGACGGTGATAAGGCTTCTCCGTGGACTTCATAATGCGCAACATGACGACAAGGAAGGGTATCAAAAGGGACGTCACAAAGAGGGGAATGACCTCCGTGGCCCACAACAGACTGACAAACACAAGCATGGCCAGGCAGTTCTGCTGCTCCGGTTTATCCATGATCGGAGCATAGAGCAAGATGATAAAGACTGTCAGAATGACAATCAGCGTCCCGAAACTCAAGCTGCACAGCCACTCGGGCACGCTACAGCGACCAAACGGCGTCTTGATCTCTTTGGCTGCAGCCTCCTGCTCATCGCCCTGTCGTCGTGCGGCGGCCGGGTCTTCATCCATTCCCAGCAGTGTCCGGCGAATACCAACATTCGCGGCCTGTGCCTTGCGCTCAATGCCAATCATCTCTCGCCAGACTGTATTCCGCTCCCAGACAACGTGCTCTCTCAGGTGCAGTCGCAGCTCCCGTTGGGCCAGGGGTAGATCACCGCCCGTAATCACGTCCGCGTAGAGCTGCTCGATTCGGGCGATCACGTCCTCGATCTTCTTCATGGTCGAATCCGTAAACGGATACGCTGGGGAAACGGTGGAGCTCATGTACTCGCGCCGCAAATTGCAGTCGAGGATCTTGTCAAACTTCTTCAAAGCCTTGGAGAAACCGGTCTTGTTCAGCTGGATGTACGACTTGAGGCCGCACAGCGAGACATAGACATTCACGGCCCGCTGCTTCAGCGACAAGCCCTCGTTGTACAGGTCCAAAAACCGCGAATCCCTGCTATGCTCATCATGCCCACCGCTCCCTCGTCGAACAAACCCCAGAATCCTCGAGTCAGCCATGAATCTCGAATCGCTCAGGTCCGACCGCGACCGACCCGCCAACGGCACCACTCTCTGCCCGGCCGGCGGCTGATGCTCGTCATCGCTATCCGCTCCATCGTCGTCATCTTCTGTCTCCTCCGACGGGAAATCGCGGTACGAGCCGCTCGTGCGCGGGCGCGAGTGAGAGCTAGAACTCATCCTCCGCGATTTGATCATAGCGTCACTCATGGGGTCAACGTCCGCCCCGTCCGCCTTGGACGAATACTCCTCCGCATCATGGACAACATCCTCCACCTCCTTCAGTATCTCCGACTCCTTGACCTCGTAGAAGCTACATATCTTGTCCAGCTCCGCGTTCAGCGCCCGCCGGAACACCGCCTCGGGCGTAGGTGTCTCGCTTAACAGCGGTGCGGACTCGACGTCCGACTGTGCCTGTCCGCTCGCTTTCCGAGCATGCTGCTCGAGCGAATATATCCTAGAAGCATTATTAGCAAGTCCACAGGCCAAAAAGAAAATGGAATGAAATCTCACAATTTCTTCAAATTACTATACGCAATGTAATAAGCACTCCAATCCGGCACCGCGTTGAACTGAATACTATGCGAGAACTTCATCTTTGCTGTCCTTTGTCCCGCCGCACTTTCTTTTGAAGTTTGTCGACGCCGGAGAGCCTCTACCCAAAACCGGAGCCTGAGGTTGCTCGCTCTGTAGTCCTGACCGCTCTTTTCACCCGGTTGCGAATACTTCTCTGTCTGTACCTGTTCGTGCGAGTCGGACTCGATGGAAACAAAATGGCTGGAGCTAGTGCGTTCGCGTGTTACAAGCGGGTAGCGACTGCGGGTGTGCAAGTCTTTAAGCTCGAAGCTTTGATCGTGGCCGTCGTGTTCGTGTTTGTAGGCACCAGTCGCAGATGCGATGCGTGCCACGGTGCGCCCAACAGCATTCGACGACACGGTTTCGACTGGCAGAGAATCTTGGGAGGAAAAAGGAACGAGACCGAAGTTGGGACTAGGCCTCTTGATAATGGGTCGTTAGTGGTAGGTGAGCTGGAGCTGGAGCTGGGGCTGCGGCGTTTGGGCTGGGTCGGGTCCCCGCAACACTGCTGTGCGGGTGATATGAGTGGTTGACAAACCGGCGCGGAGGGGTTGAAGGATTAGGGCTTTGGTGTCCGTATGTGGTGTACGAGCATCACTTTGATTGTAATGATGAGAATGGTCAGATGAAGATATTGTGAGGATAATCCTGGTCGATAGTACATAGAATAATGACTACGTTTAGGCTGCCAGGGTGCCTTGCAGCAGACTCAAAAGTTGCCTGATCGGGGATAGCGAGGATTTAGTCATCCGCAGTCGAGATGAAGCAAACGATAATTTACAATTGCTGATAGCCTAAAATACAATGCATGAATGAATAGATATCACTATTTACCTGCGCTGAGTGACCAGACCAAGATTCGAACGACCCGCGATACCAAGCTTGTGCACCGCTTCCCTCCGATCCCACACGCCACTACGACCTTCCGCAACAGCGACCAGCTCGTGAGCGACTCGCTGAGCGAAACTGCTGTCCCGGCGCTTATCAGATGCATCAATGATCCATCGGATAGCCGTTCGCCGCCGCTGTCTCTGCATCAGAGGAACCGGGATCTGCACGGCGGCACCACCACCGGCAATACCCTTCTGCTGACGGATTTTGATCAGAGGTGCGACCGAGTCCACGATCAACGAGAGGTAGAGGACGGGGTTCAGAGGTAGTTGAGGGCCAGGAGGACCAGGGAGGAGTGGCCGCTTCGGGTGCGGTTGGGGGGGAGGGGCAGTTCGAAGGTGGTCAAGAATGAAGGACATGTTCTGGGAGACCAACTAGATTAGCACCGGCCACCTGCCAAGTTTCTAGCGATGTACACACCTTCTGGGCCTTGCTCAACTTCCCATCCCGCATAAGCAATTTCGTAAACTGCTCCAGCAACGGGTCATATCTCTCGCGGAAATTCTCCGTCTTGGGGAGACTCTCTGGCGCCGGAAACTTCAAGCCGGGGTGCAGCTCCGCGACGTCCTGGTTCACCTGGTTGATCATATTGGCGACAACGGCCACCGAAGGATCGGGCAGATCCTGACCCTGTAGGTCGGGCTGGTAGCGGCGTGTGAAGGTCGAGAAGGACCGGTTGCCAGACGATCGCTTCAGCTGGTCTTGCATGACCTTGGGCATGTGCTTCAGGGCATCTTTATCGCGCTGCAGGATCTATCCGACAGCAAAATTAGCACCGCGACGAAACAGTATCGATAGAAAGGAAGAAGTCTACCTCAGCGACGGGAGTCCCCTGCTCCAACTCCGGGCTCGCAGCAGCCTCATATTTCCCACACCCACCGTGCAGGATCTTGTCCATCTGCGCGGCCTCCTCGCTGACATGGGGCAACGGATCCTCCGTAGGTCCCTTTACCCCCTCCAATTCGTCCTTCTTCTCTGATTTCGATGAGTTCCATCGTCTCTGTGCTTGAACGGTCGATGCGGCATGAGGCCGGTTGATGCTGAAACGCGAGCTGACCGCGGATGAGGTGGATGGACGAAAGCCAGGCAAGGCCTTGCCCACTGTGAAAAGATTGATACGAGGCGGCATGTTGATTCTCCTCGATGCCTGAAATCGACAGACCGGATTTCGAGGGAGAGATGTTCAATTGCCCTCCTCCGTCCTTGGCTTCGTCGGAGCCGCGAAGAACGATTTTCCTCTCCACCTTTGCTTAGTCATCTATACCAAGACTCCCCATTCCAGCATGAAGTCATTCATTATTGTTTTAGATATGGCCAACAAGTTCTACAAGAGAGTTTGCGGCCAGTTGTGGCTAGAATACGGTTTACGATGTAGCGGTTTACATAAAAACGGTGGCACCCAGGCCAGCCCAGTCGTTTTGTCATCCAAAGTACACCACATTAGGAGAACATCGAACATCAAATTAAGAAAATACAAGATACAGGGTAGTCAGAACCCACTATTGTTCGTCTGTACAGCAAATACAGAACCACCGACCAGCAGTATTTACCCAGTTAGTTTGCAAAAGCAAAAGGAGTAGCTTGGCACAAAGTCAGAGAGCGCGAGGCTCAACCCAAGGACATCAATACTGATTCCTGGTCTGAAAGCTTGGCAAAGTGACTGGTCGCTCAATTGGCAATAAGAGCATCGCCAGTAGGATCATCTGGGTAGACGTAGAACGCTAGCGCTAGGATCAGATACCTATAGCGCGGAAAGTTAGAAACTGGCCCATAGATCGATATGAGAGCGGACAACTTACATTCCCAAGCAAAGCCCACCCTCGAGATAATTCGACTTGCCATCTTGGATGAGGAAGGTCACAACCAAGCTGGAGATGAAGAAGGCGACAGTTTCAAAGATGTGGAAGTTGAGAGTCATCTCAACGTTTAGGATCCAGCCCATGATGACAAGGAACGGTGTCACGAACAATGCGATCTGCAAGCTACTGCCGACGGCTACGCCGATAGCCAGATCCATCTTTCCTTTCCATGCGACGACGACGGCGGTGACATGCTCCGCAGCATTTCCAACAATGGGAATCAAGACAAGACCGATGAAGGTCCGGCTCATGCCGGTCTTCTCCACAATGCTGTCGATGCTTCCAACCAGGTAGTCGGCACAGACGGCAACAAGAATCGTGACAACAACCAGAGCAATGGTAGCGGCCAATGGGTTCAAAATATGATGCTCCTCCTCTTCTTCATGGTGCGCCTGATTCTCTGTATCGGGTCCGAGTCCGTCTTGAACCTCCTCAAACAGCTGTGTATGCGTCTTGAGCTGGAAGTACAGGTACATGACGTATAAAACCAGGAGAATGATGGCGGTACCGTGCGAAAGAATCAGGATATTATTATCCGTCGTAGCTTTGGAGTGGGATGGTGACAGAGAGGCGTAGAGGGTGGCCGGAATGATCAACGAAGCAGAGGCAACCGTCATCATGGACGACATGGTGGACGCGACAGTAGTGTTGAACGTCTGCTCGGAGTACCGGAGCCCACCAATGAAGAAACAGCATCCGAGCACAAGCAGGATGTTCGACAGGATACTGCCCAGCATGCTTGCCTGGACGACACGGATCTGGTTGCCCTTCAAAGCGATGATGCTGACCTACCATTGTCCTCAAAGTCAGCTACAGTTAAGCACAAAACGACTCGAACGGATAAACCCACAATCAGTTCGACCGCATTCCCGAAAGTGGCATTCATCAGTCCACCCAACGCCTGTCCCATAGTAGCCGCCAGTTCTTCAGTCGCAAAGCTCAGCAGAGACGCCAATGGGATAATCGCCAGGAAGTTCAACGAGAAGACAACCGTGCTGTCCCAGTGAAGCGCACCGGAGATGATACCAAGAGGCACAAACACGAGCAGCACGTTGACGTAGTCCCGCACGAGGGTCTCCCAGGTCAAGTGCATGACCTGCGCTGGGATGTTCAGCCAGCGGGATCCACGTTTGTGGCGCCGATGCTGGCTCATGCCTGAATTGATGCGGGGAATATCATTGATCAGAGCATCCCGCTCACTGGGCTCTCCGACCCCGTTTGGAGAAGAAGAGAAGCCAGTCATACTGCGTTTTCTTGGTCCCCAAGAGTGCCTGCGGAAGGCTGAACGGAAATTCCTCGCTGCTGCTGTATCAGATTCGACAGATCCGATTAGCCAAATTTCTTGTGAGATTCGCCTCACTATTCTCTGCACGGAATGATTGTTCAAGAATTAAAAGAAAGACTGCTTGATAGGCGAAAGAGGACAAGGAGAGACTTGGAAAATGAACAAAGAAATTGATGAAATAGACGAAAGATACTTCGTATGATAAAAGAGGGAAAACGAAGGACTGAAGGATTGAAGGTCACAAGTGGGGAAGTTTAAGAGAGAAAGGAAAAAGTGTAATCCTCCTGCGTAGTAGCAGTAGCAGTAGTGATGGAGACGATGATGAAGGTGTGGCACCTACACATTGGGATCCGACAGTGGCGCGGGAAACGACCAGGGAACGGCGATAGGACCGGAGGGAAAAAGTGGGTTAATCCTGAAATATGTAGGATACTAGACTAGCCGGTCAGTCTAGGATTGATCTGATAGTCGGTCCTTGTCTGGAATCCTGGGACCCGACAAGAGAAAAATTCTGGAACCAGGGTGAAATTGCAAAAGCCAGTTAAGTTAGGTAGTCTTAGCTCTTGGGTGGCAGGAAGGATTGGCGAAACCAAGACAACCGCAGTGGTCTAGTCGCAGAGGGGAATGTCCACGTTTCGCTGAAGAATGAGAGGGATTATTACCTAGATTAATGCTCACGCGGACCAATCGAGATGATCATGGGCTAAAATTCAACTCAGATGTTCTTCTCGATTGGAGACAGGAGGTCAAAGGAAGAGTGCGAAGGAACTAAGTAGATACACTAGAGAGGCACGGGGGAACTGCAAGCAGCCAGCCACGTACGTACCTTGACTACGGATTCGCGGAGGGATGTGGATGTGCGGAGATGCAGGTAGAAGCCTGTCAAAGACGCGAAGGTTGTTTTGTCAGTTGAGCTTTCAATCTGGGGGATGGGATAAAGCAGAGTAACTGCAGTGAGCCGAATCCGCAATGCACAGCCTCAAAGCTGGATGCTTTGATCCTCAAAGGAGCAGGAGTTTAAGGTAAGCTTCGAGCTTACCCTCGAAACAGGACGCGAGGCTATACCTGAAGCTAACAAGTCTCGGCAGGGTACTCAAAGGTCTTGATTGCCCAGATGATGCGCAGGATTGGAAATTGGCGCTGGCAGCAATGCCTCTTTAGAAGACGGAGCTATGTACTAGAGTGGATGGTGTTGATCATCGACTGACCCGGAAACATGGGCCTCAATTGTAGAATTAACAAGAGTATATCAAGTTGATGACTTTCAATCAATATATCAGATAGATACCTCTGTAGATGTATGCAATGATGATGTCGATGATGATGATGAAGTCGGCGCCAAAGTGATGCTTTACAGTGGGGCATCTGCAAAAGCTCCAGCCACTAGCTTAACTCTCATTGCAGTTGGACATCAAGCGATAGACTAGTTATACACTTAAGCGCATTCACTGCATTCTTCTGAGAGACTATCTTAGAGCTTATGTATCCAATACCAATTGTAAAACTCTATGCACACAGAGTAAATCTACCAGACTTATCTCAACATGAAACTACTCCATCCATTCAAGTCAGTCCACCCACGGATCTTCCAAGGGAAAAAGACGCGCCAAGATGCACTGCCACAATTAGACCCACCAGCAATAGTATGTAAGCGATCATAGCGCCTGGACTAGCTGAGTTGTACCACTGTGATATGGAGCAACGTGATAAATCTCATTAATTAAGAATCATAGTAGACTAAACAATCCAGAGATATTTACAACAGACTTGAAAGTTTTTGATTGTACAGTCTACAGAATGTGATGATAATCTCAGTGGGTGCTCAACACGTGTCCTATGATGATGGTCCAGAGGTGTGGTACAGAAGTCATTGTCAGTCCCACATGCTTCATGCCAATCAACATTCAGAATTTGTATGTAACCTCTCACGTGACTGTCAATGACTTTTGCACCACACCTCCGTACCCTGTGCAGACTGTCCTATCTGCACTCCGCAATGCACCCGGAAAATATATCGACATCATGTGGCTTGACAACTCACTCATCCTAAGCGCAGCCTGTTGTTTGCCTACCTATTCTGTAAAGGGATTGCTTATCATGCGCTGTGTTGTGATCTGCAGACCTACGCGACTGCCCCAGATTGGTTCGGTTTACTCGTCCGTCACCACCCTTGCAACCCACTGGATGTTGGCGCTATCAGATGCAGATCCAACGGTGACCTGCTCAGCCACGCCATATGTCTACCAGTCTGTACGGAGTAAGAAGCTCGCGGATACAGAGGCTGACATCCGATTTAGTGCCCAAGCCACTGTAGAACACACCAAGGGTAATCTGACATGTTCAATTACCACATTAGTCTATGAATATCCTCGAACATCCTACTCTCATATAGTCCATAGATACATGTGCGCAGAAAGCGTTCATGCGATCACCAAATAAGTCATAAGATACAACGAATTCCTCCGCAATAAGAATTCAAGCGTATACTCCCTGTAGACTAGTGTCAAGCGACATAAACCGCCGAAGTTGGGGACAAGTTAGGATGGCACAGCACCGAGTCCTACCACGTATCAGCAACCCCCTCGGTATATTCTCAATCGAAAAAACTCACCTGCTGCATAGGCAAGGTACCACGTCCGGCTCGCTCCCCCGTCAATCCAGCTGTAGTCGAAGTTGGGCTGTGTGAAAAAGCTCCACGAAACGGCTGGGTCCACCAGTGCGAGATTGGCGTACAGTACGCCCTTCCACCCGCCTACCACGTTCTCGGCTGGGTCTGGGCTGTTGCTTGCAAACATGGCATCCCATTCTTCCTCCACAAACTTCTTGCTGCGAATAAACGCAGAAAACGGTAGGATGGGCAGCATATGGATCCTGTGGCAAAAGTCAGCAATGCAGGTCTTGATAGCGTCAATGACAATGAAGGGCTCAAAAGTTCATACCCCTGAATATACTCCAGATTGTTGCCAAAGTAAGTAGTATGGTCCACCTTGTTTTCGAACAACTGCAAAAGATTGTCAGTTGGAGACTAACCCCACAAGACATACGGTAACAATGCTTGACTTACTATGCCCGTAACCTTGTTGGCAATGAAGTTCGCCGGCTGGTTCTCGTTGTCGCTCTCCATCAAAAAGTAATTCCGGAGGCTTCGGCGCAGAATGCCCAGCATCAAGTTGCCTCGCGCCTCCATACTAGCATCCCCAATAGTCTTTCCCCACATCTTCAGGGCGTACGCAAACATCGCATCTTCCGACGTCGACTCCTCGTCTTTGCCGTCAAAGGACTCGAAAAGACCCTTTGCCCAAGAATGGCCGTGGAACCAGTCGAACCCGCGCGAGAACGGAAAGAGTGGATCGTTTCCGGCTGAGTTTCCAGCATCCCGGACAAGCATATTGACCCAGTCTTTGCTGGTTTGAAGCCATTGAGGATCCATGGATCCTATGATCGCAGCAGCATGGATGAAGTACCCGTAGTGGAAATGATGGTCATTGTACAGCGTATTCCCAAAATCAGCCCCTAGGTCACCAGTGTCATAGCTGGCAGAGGATACCACTCCTTTCCAGACATTGTCGTAGACGAGGGGAAACTGTTGCCTGTTGTCAATGAAACGGGCAAAGGACTGCTTCAACCGCGCAAGGCCCTCGGCCGCAAGAGTGCTGTTTCCCCCCAGTTTGTCAACTGTATACAAAAGGGTGGCAAACTTGCTCAGAGCCTTGCCGCTGAAATACATACTATTGAGATCGGTCTGAGCATCCATATCCTGTTGAAGTTCTGTGGGAGCTGCGGCCAGGATGACCTGCTGGGCAGCGGGCGATATGCTGTCAATGCTGCCTCCGGAAACCGACCATGGCGCAAAACCCATGGAAATGGGGAGGTCAGGCTCAACCATTGTCCAGTATTCCCCAATAACCGCGATCGCCTGGCCTTTGGTGGTGGTTCTAAGCGTGATATTCGTCGCCCGGCTTTGTGTACTGGCGTCAAACGATTCCATGTGATGTGGGAGCGCAAACATCAGCAAGGGGGTGTCCTGCGCATCCTTTCCTGCCTTAGCCCACATCAGGCTGTACGTTCCAGTGCTCTCAGATACTGAGCCCATGACCGCGCCCTCGACAGCATAAACCCCTGAAGAGTTATCGTAGAACTTCTCACCAGATGCGCCAGCCGGGTTCTTGGCCACCTGGATCGTGCCCGACCAGCCGGCGGGCCCAATAATTTCGCTGTTTGACACCAATCGGAGCTGTGGATCTGTCCCATCGTCGGGGGTTGCGTAGAGAAGCCATGATGTTCCATCTTCAAGGGATAGGCTGTATTTGAATATACCAGCACGTGGGGATCCAGCAATTACCATTTTGTTGAAGAAGACGCCACTCTGGATCTTGGGTTGCAAGTTGCTATAAATGCCAGTCACGAATCCCATACCCTGCACTACAGGAATGGTGATGCTCTGAGATGAGCCCGCGGAAGGTCGTAGAACCGCGTTGGCCGAGAAGGGAAGCGGATTTTCAGTGATGAGTACGGTAGATGCCCCCAGTTCACTTGCTGAAAGAATAACCGAATGGATGCCGATCGGATTGATATAATATGATATGGGACTACCAGGAATTGCTGTATTCACCGGGCCGTGCGCGACTACGTTACTCTCGACATGGGAGATCGCCATGCCGTAGCTTTGTGACGTTCCACCTCCCTTCACCCAAGCAACGCTGTAGGGGTGCGTAAAAGTACCGTTGGTTTGCGTTCCCAAGAAGAGCCCACAATAGAACTTGTTCGTCTCAACAGGAGTGTCCGTGTTGACCTGTACGGATCAGACAACGCCATCAGAATAACAGGCTTCGGGAGCTTACGATTCCATTCTTAGGTACGGGATGATCGTTCCTCGAGCCAATCGTGTCGGGAATTGGACCAGTCGACACTGCTACAAAGACGTCTTGACCATTTGCCATGTTGGTAGCGGCAGCTAC